TTACTGAACTGGAAAGAATTTTAACACATTTTGCCTCAACCTTCTCCCTGATCTCTCAAACACAGAAAACACTGCCTCTTTAAAAAAAAAAAAAACAGGATCCAGATACATGCCTGCTCACCCATTCTCGCTCCAGAGACCACATCATCCCCGTCCTTAAACAATTTCACTGGCTCCCTGTCCCATATCACAAACAATACAAGGTCCTCCTCCATAACCTAGTCTTTCATACCTCACTGACCTCCTCCATTGTCACTGTCCAGCCTCCTCGTTCCCATCAGAACTAAGTGCTAAACCTTGGGGGAGCGAACCTTCGGAATCCTGAGGACCAAGCCTTCTGAACCCTGAGGACCGAGCCCTCTGAACCCCGAGGACTGAGCCTTCTGAACCCTGAGGACAGAGCCTTCTGAACCCTGAGGACCGAGCCCTCTGAACCCTGAGGACCAAGCCTTCTGAACCCTGAGGACTGAGCCTTCTGAACCCTGAGGACCGAGCCTTCTGAACCCTGAGGACCGAGCCTTCTGAACCCTGAGGACCGAGCCTGAACCCTGAGGACCGAGCCTGAACCCTGAGGACCGAGCCTGAACCCCGAGGACCGAGCCATCTGAACCCTGAGGACCGAGCCTTCTGAATCCTGAGGACTGAGCCTGAACCCTGAGGACTGAGCCTGAACCCTGAGGACCGAGCCTGAACCCTGAGGACCGAGCCTGAACCCTGAGGACCGAGCCTGAACCCTGAGGACCGAGCCTGAACCCCGAGGACCGAGCCCTCTGAACCCTGAGGACCGAGCCTTCGTAACCCCCACTCTCTGGAACTCACTCCCACAATACATCAGGAACTCAGACTCACTTAATAACTTCAAATCACTGCTCCAAACCCACCTGTTCAAAAATGCCTACACTTCACTGGTAATTTTTTAGCTTTTTATTTTGTTTCTGATTTGTTCTTCGTTAAAGCGTCTTTCAGTGTCCAATAAAGCGCTGTATAAGTACAATGTGTTATTACTATTATTTTATGAACAGAAACAAAATATATTTGCAAAACAACAGCCAAAGTCCACATAAATAGTTAGCCGTAATGCGGAGGAGCCCGGTTGAAGCTAGCTCGAACAGTATGCACGTTTTTTGGTAGAAACGGCCGACAATGGGTCAGTTTTTACGACTCGTATCTGGATTTACACAAAGACAATCACATTATTAACACTGGAATCGAAGACAGCGCTAAAGTATGGCTTGTTTAACAGTTACTGAGTTCGAGGAGTTTACTTTTCAATGCCATGCCGAAATGTGTCCATGAGCACTTCCCTATTGGGCTTCATTGAGCTAGGCGGTCAGCATTGTCCATTTTTATACAGGCTATGATCATCATTTAGACATACATAATTTAATTGAGAGAAAAGAACGATGCTTTTCATGCTTCCGGTCAAAAATAATCGGTGATGGATTTGCAATGCACTACGATTAGCAACAAGGCTCTACAACTTAAAGGGTGCAGTATCTGTAGTTAACACTAAATGTTGGCCCGCTGGTTTGGAGGTGCTAATGCGGGCCAGGCTCCATACAAGCATCACTGACTTCTTACACCTTTACTGTGCCTACTAATTACATCTGTCTATAAACTTAACACATACAAGCATATATAATCCGTCATGTAAATCCATTCCTGTGAGATCCCTCCGCCACGTTACTCCAGAAAAAGCCGACAATGCCTGAGTATGGCACCTGCTGGAGCCCTGATCTCCCAGCGTACGGTGGGAATATAAATAAAGTGGAGGTTGAAGCGTGGCCCACATATGCTAATCTTTAAAGAATGTCTATGGAGCGTTCCCAAGTGTTTCTCTTTAATGTGATGCGATCTTAATGAAAGCCTCCTCTTTGATACTTCCAGGCGTGAAAAGAAAGAAAAAAAAAGTTGCGCCACATGGGCAACATCTGTTACATTAAACGCATATTTCTTCCACCTTTAATCAAGCCTGATCCATTAAAACAGCATTTCTGGGCTAATCCTTCAATGGGAGTGAAAGGCGCACTTTTGTCACCGCAAAGAATACCACCAAATTTCGAACATAGCTCGGGTGAATGGAAATGGGAGTCGTCTGATTTCACAATATCGGCAGGACAAAGCATCTCTTTAGCCCGAAGACCCGGGGCACCCCACCCCCTCAGATGTCGCCTTTTGTTGTGTGCATGTGACTAGAGGAATGGCCCAGTAGGAAATGCCAGACACCCACAAAAAACCCGGAGAAAAATAGTTGTGGGAGCCACCCTTTGCATCAATTCAACTGCAACAAGGAACATTTTACAGCTGCTTTATTGTTATCCCTCTGCTGTTTAAGCCGTCTTTCATGTCACAAGTCTTTTCCTGCTTACAAATCACCAGGAAGCAATCCCTTTGGCCGGAGCGCTGGACCCAAAGCTCCTCCCTTAGGGTCCATAGCTTTGATCACCTGTAAAGTTGACCAGATGCAGGGCCGGCCCCCGGGATAAGCCTGTGTTTGTCCCACTGTGCCTCTCCTCTTGTTTTTTTTTTTTTTTTTTGCGCTTTCAATATGAGCCTGGGAACCGAGCCTTGGCGGAGCGGCAGATGCAGATGAATTGGAATGGATTTGGATACATTGGCAGAGACTTCTTGCCGTAAACAAATTGATGAAGTAATTAGCAAAGAAATGCGAACCACAAAAGTAGAGTAAGTAGCCTTTGACCCGAGGCACAGTGGGGTTGAGTTTGTCTTTCGACTTTTTGTCTGCCCGCAACATATTTTCCATTTTAAATAATAATCATATGTGGCTGCAAATACTCCCCTTTGTTTAGCAAAAAGTCACATTCTTCAGGAAAGAAAGTTTGTTCCTGAAGGTTGATCATTCTCTGCCTGTCTTTAAGACAATTCTTAAAAATCATTTCACTTGCTTTTGATAATGTTTGGTTTCAGGTAATATTGTTTTATATATGTATTTTTAGTCTATGCGTTTGTTTTGTGTACAGCACTTTGGCTGAACTGTAAAGTTTTTTAAAAGTGCTTTATAAATAAAGCTGGTGAGGTATGTTATGGTAGGGGTGTCCAAACCTTTTAGTAAGAGGGCCACCGTAGTTCACCAAACTAGTCCATGGGCCGACATCACAGACTGAAAAACTCTCTTGACTGGCATCGGACTGTTCTGGGCTTTATGATGATCTATAATAGAGCTGAAGTTGGCTGAATGACAAATGTTTACCATCTCACCAGTTTGTGACACAATAAAAACCATGTCAGTACAGTTTATGCAAATAAAGTCAACCACTGAATTTCAGACCTACTGGGCTTCAGAACAAGGTCTTTGGGTTAGCATGGCAGAGGGCCACATCAAATGACACCGAGGGCCGCAATTGGCCCCTGGGCCTGAGTTTGGACATGGCTGATTTAAGTGAATGCTTGTATGAACATGTATGACCTGTGGCGTTAGGATATATGAAGAACATTTGAAAAAGGTCTCATGTATTAATTAATTTAGAAATGCTTTATTCGTCTCACCGTGGGGAAATGTCAGTGTTGCATCATCAGTTACAGGACAGTAGGAATGAGGAGCACACAGCACAAGATAAACGAACAAATACTCTATACTAAAATAAAATAAAAAATCTTGAATGCTAGCATAAAAAATAAACAAGTCTAATATCTCAAACTTTGGCATGATAAAGAATCAATTAAAACACACGTTTTTATCCACAAGCTGTTATCAGTTTGAACAGAGCACTTTAATGATTTGCACTTGTTTTGAAACTGTTTTAGTCGATTTCACAGTGACATTTGTTTTATTTCTGTCTTTTAATGTTGTTTTATGTCTGGATTTGTCTGTGCACACTGGAGACTTTTTGCTAATGTATTCCAATGTGGTGTTATTACTGCAAATGGCAAATAAACTTAATCTGAATCTGAATCAAACTTTAGCATAAAAAATAGCAAGAATTGAGTGTAAAATCTCTGACTTTAGCATAATAAAGTTTAGTAGCAGGTCCTGACAAATGGATCTATGCTCAGCCCTTTCTTGTCGGTCATTTGCGGTCACATCGAAGGCCCAGCTCACGCAAACATGAATGAATCTCAACAACATTGAGGTCTTTACCTGGAGACCTGAGGACACCCCTGGCCCAGACTTTTCTCACAACCTACTGCTTGGATTTCAGATTTCGTAGAACCCTCTCAACATGCTCCCATATTTTGTTAACATGAACTATGTGGAAGTGTAATTTCACAGCTCATGGTTTAGTTTTCATAACATTGTGTGATTATTTTCATGACATTTTCTTGTTTATGTCCAGGAGAGGTGAAAACTGATGGGAAACTCACTTATAGCCGCACAGTGTTTGAGTGGTTAGTTCTCTCGCTTCTCAGCAAGAAGGTCCTGGGTTCGAATCCCGGTCAAAACGGGGCCTTTCTGAGTGGAGTTTGCATGTTCTCCTTGTTTCCTCCTGTGTACATGTGAACCCGCTCCCATCTCTGTGTGGAGTGACAGATAAATGCCCAGAACAATTGTAAAGCACTTTGTGACTCTGGTCTGTGAAAGGCGCTGTATAAATAAAAAATACTCAGATTACTTTACGGAATTGATTTGAATGGAAGCAGTCAGAATGTTGGGTCTGGAAGTTCAACCAGTTTTCTTATTCTAGGATTCTCTCACATCCACCCCTCTAACATTCAGACAGATTTCAGTTTTATATATCGTTCAATGTGAACTTCTCATCACTGTTTGTGGCGAAAACTGAACACACGTTTTTTGAAGGGGGCAAGAAACAAGCTGCGTGCCACAATTTCCCCGGGGACTACAGTCTGGACCGGCCTGCTGTAGATGCTAATGAGTCCACAGTAAACAATAGCGGATGCCTCAGACAGACTTGTGGACGTGTTTGACCTCTCTCAGACCCCAACCTTCACAGTTTAGGGTCCGGCCTAATGTTGTTATTTAGTGAACTCGGCTGCAGCTAGAGCCAGACCAGTTGTCACCACTCTCCGGTTTTAAGACGTGCTTAATTGGCTTCCCCGAGTGCCCGAGGAGGGGAAGACAGAGAGGGCTGGCTTGTTACGAGCGCCGGGGAGAAGGGAGAAGGGAAGGGGCTGTACTGGGGTCCCTTATCAGCCGTCCTCGGACACCTCCAGTGGCTATTAATCAGAGCCAGAGCCCGACTGGAGCCAGGAGAGGATCCACCGAGAAGGAGGAGGGGGCTGGAGGAACTGCCACAGACACACACACACACACACACACACTCAGCCCCTGTTATCCAGGTCCACCCAGCTCTCATGCTGATTTAAGTCCCGGTCAGCCCCTCCAGCCATGGCCCATCCATTTGAGCCACTGTGACAGCTTTACGTCGCCCCTTACTGTGTTATTATATTGGTGCTGGGCTGCCAGTTCCATTGTGCTAGTGAAAATTTAGCACCAGACGTAATATTCGCTTTCACAGGATGTGCACCCAGCATGTCGAATATCTCCAGTGCATTTATAGGATTGCAAGAGCTCATTATTTTTAACGTCCGCGACAGGCTCGTCTGAAGAACGGTTTTATGAACAGGAAAACAGCCATTAGGTGTTGTCAGTGTTGGGGTGTTTGTAGAATTAGTGTAAGGCTAACTATGTAGCATGTGAGCACTGTAAGAAGCAGCGTGTAGCCTGGTCATGGCCTTTGACTTTTCGCTTCTAATTGCACAGAAAAAGTCAGCCAGTAATTGCTCACAAAATCCCCCAAATATCACTGCGCTTTCTCCTGTGTGTGCGTGCAGCTAATTGTGTTGTACAGTGAGCTTGGCCTTTTAAATGCTGATGGTGCAAAGAGGAGGCAACAACAACCCGCACTGTGAAGCAAAACGTTTTACCTTTGTCACTTTTTACCGTTTTCATTTAGGCTTCGGTTTGAGGACGACATATAAACAATGGCCCAGATGTCTGTCACTTCTAAAACAGATAATGACGTCAGTATAACCGTAGTCGTTTCTCCTTCACAGCTCACTACTGCCCACTGTGTCAGCATTCTGCCTTTCATCTGTGCCAAAATGTCTGTGCAACACTGCTGAATCATAGCGATCTCAAATGAAGGGAAAACTGAAACAACGATAATGTGTGAGTGTGTGTGTGCGTACATGTGTGGTGTTTGTGTGCTTGTGTGTGTGTTTGCGTGCTTGTGTGGTGTGTGTGTGCAGGTGGTGAAGTGAACACACACTGTTGGAGGAATGACAGATAAACTTCAGAAGAACGTCAAAGTAAAAGTGCAGCTAACACTAAAATCGCTAATTTGAAGTCAAAGACATACAAACCCTCTCTCTCGGAGGCATTGGAGGATCTCAGGTCTTGTTCACAGTCAGAGAAGGATGTGACAGATGGACGGTGCAGCCTCTGCAGTGATATGGTCTCAGAGGAGCTCCTTCTTGAACAATCATTTCCAAATGATGCTGTTACTGCACACACACATTTGAGTCCACATTGATCCTGTTTTATCAAATACAGAAATTGGTGAAGATGGAGGAGACACGGGAACTCTCTGATGGACCGTTGAAAGATGAGCATACAGTAGTACCCTGAGCCTTCGCATGTGTCTGGGTGAAGTGTGTTTGCCTTGAGAGGAAACCCTGGAGAAGTCCCACATGTGCAGCAGTGACTCTATCTCAGCTGGATCAGGAGGAGGAAGTGAATGTCTGGGCGTCTCTGCAGATAAAACAGAGGAAAATTGATCGACAAATCCCAAAAAAAGAAAGAAGATCATTTCCTCTTTATGCTACATTTACAACTTTTTCTTGAAGTACAACACCCGTGAGTAAATGGTGTGTGATCCATTATAGAAACACGATCAAAGTGTGCAGGAATGTTGCTAAAGTGTCTAAATGGAAAGCTTCTGTGTGGCGCAGAACAAAGCCTTAGTGCAAACACGACTCTGGGAACAACAACCAACAGGCAGCGAGGAGGATGGAGACTATACGTACCAGATTGTCTTTAAAAGCAGGATATTGTTAAATTAAATCCAATATTCGCATCCAGCCATTAGCTTGAATGGAAACACGTTTGTAGATTATCGTGTTAATCGGCTAATGGTGCTTTGCTGCTGTTTCAAAAGAACTAACCTTTTTATTCCGTACATTTGAGTGGTGCTAAGTTCCATATAACACCAGCTCCCGGGAGATGAAGGCGCGGAGACTTTGTGATGAATTTCAAGTTTAAATGGAAAGCTTCTGGAGTGCACTACAAAGCAGCATGTGTAAATATTGAATAATGAGGTGCTTTCAAGTTTCCCACTTTGTATCTGCCCCGCGTAGAAAAAAGTGCCATTAATGACGCCTTTTGGTGTGGTTCACATCACACGGAGCCTGCGCCTCCATCGCCACAGATACATTTGTTATTATTAGACTGAAGGCAATAGATTTACAAGCACATTTGCAGCCAACATGTGGTGGGGACATATGTGTGCGACTGTAGTCTGTTCTCAGGAGATGATCAGACTTTGGAAAGAATCCCAGGCCTAATAAAAATATTTCAAATAGTTTCACATACTTTTTTTTTGTTTTCATTTAGTATTTAGTGAAATGCAATGAAAAACATGAAGAATTGTTTTTTGGAATTTCAATCTGAAGAGACCAAGACAGAAACATTAATGCATGAAAAAGATTTATTTGTTCGGCGCATTGACCCCGACAGAGACACTTGCAGAGGGGAGATCAATTGCTGCTGTAGACGATCTCAGATCCCCCGGGGTCAAGCGCTGGTGGTGGCTAGAAGCATGGGGTGAATGGGGCGTAGGCGGAGCAGGAGTAGGTGCCAGAGCAGGAGCCAGGGCGGGATCCAAAGCAGGAGCCAGGGCAGGAACCAAAGCAGGAACCAGGAGCTTGAGGAGGTGCTGGGGAGGCGGTGGGTGTTAAGAACCTCAGGAAGCGCTGATTATCAGGAAGTGGCTGCTTTTAAATTGTCCGCTTTGCTGTTAGAGAATTGGCAAGATGCTGGCCGGGCTGTGTGATTGGCAGAGGCTCGAGTCTGGCAGAGCTGTGTGATTGGCTGGCCCTGGACGGGTGAGAGCTGTGGCCGGTCTTTCAGTCTGAATTTGCGCTTCAGCTTCATTATTGGACTTCATTGCCCAGCTCCCAGACTAATCAATGTTTTCTTGCCTCCCATAAAACTACCGCCACAAAGCACAGAACTCTCTGAAACAGGAAGTTAAGTTCAGATACCTCACTGATCTCCTCCATTATCACTGTCCCTACCACCGCCTCAGATCCACAGACTCCAACCTCCTCACTCCGGTCAGTACTTAACATCGAACCTTGAGGGATCGAGCCTCGGCCGCAGCTGCCCCCACTCTCTGGAACTCACCCCCACGTCCGTCAGAAACTCAGAATCACTTCTCAAAACCGTCCTGTTCCACCATAGCCTTTCCCTAATTTTGCCCTTCTTTGTTTATCTTATATGTTTTGTTAAGCGTCTCTGAGTGTCCAAAAAAAAGCACTATATACGGTTGATGTGTTCAGATCAGACACAAAGCTCTCAGCCCAGGCACAGCCCATTGACTTGAATGTTGACCCGGGCAACGCTACACTCCATTAACTTTTAATTCACCGTTGTTTTCACTGTGTAAAAGTGAAATCAAATCTCATTCAAAAACCTTGCTTATGGGTCAAAAGTAACATGTGTTTGTTAGTGATGCAAATACATAGAATGCAAAGAGAGAGGCCATTCCTGCAGGTGAAAGCCAGATCCTGTCAGACCTCTGAAGCTAGGCAAGACATTGTCTGGTTAGTGCTGTGATGGGAGACTTCCCAGAAGTCACAGTGGGGTGACTGCGGCTGTTTGTTGTGTCCTTAGGCAAGACCCTTCACCCACATTAGAATGAGTCAAATATGTGTGTGTGTGTGTGTGTGTGTGTGTATAGCTGGTGGTGGTCGGAGGGGCCGATGTCAATCAATAACTGCTTGCCTCGCTTCTGTGCCCCAGGGCAGCTGTGGCTACAGTAGTAGTTCATCACCACTGTGCATGGAGTGAATGTGTCTTTGAGTTGTTAATAATAATAAAAATAATAATAATTATTAATTATTAATAATTATTATATTATAATAATATTATTATTATAAATAATAATAATTATTTATTTTAGACATACTAAACGCATTTGGCTAACATTGAATGCTAATGGTCTCTGTAAGCATGGGTTCTCTCTGCTGTAGGCCGCAGACAAAGGCAGCACCACAGTGAGTAACCGCAGTGAGAGCCATCGCCAACTGTTCTTGGATCTTCTGCGAACTGCACATGCCGTTCGTTTCCTTTCCGAGTTTCACCACATGTTTACATCTGAGCATGTTGGCGGTTTCTTATCAAGAGTAACTCAGCAAAAATGTCCTGGAGATAAGAGTATTTCCTGTGATCTGGGTCAGTGACGGCTGCAGCAATGCAAGCCTGACGTACGCAGCAGCGGCGTGCCTTCTTTGATGGGAACAACGTGGAGTGTTTCCCGCATTAGTCACATCCAAAACATTAGCAGCGAATGTAACTTGAGGTGATGTTTCTGGAGAGCAGGGGAAGTTGACTCAGTGTGGACTAGCACCAGTGTTACTCACCACTGCTCCTCAAACCGCTGAGTCAGATCACGGTGTTTGTATTTGACCAGCTTTGGCCTCAGAATGACTCACCACCGGCTCTCCTGAAATAACCCAGGATTTAGCAGTTCCCTGATACATTGCACCAGACGCCAATTTATTATGATTTCAGAATTATTTTTACTGCCATTGTAAGTAATAGGAATTGGCTTTGGCTCAAGGTGCAAACAAGGTCCCTGTGTTTTCCATCACTATTGGATTTACCGGAACACTCTGCAGGCATGATAAGATCGGCGATGAAGAATATTCCTCTCACACCCACTGTAGCCAGATCAAGGGTCCTATCTAACATTCATAACTTCTCCCCATACGTACCTCCAAAGCCACCTAGGGCGTCCAACTCAAATTCTCCCACAAAATCCACCCGTCCCTCAAATTCTAACTCGAATTCACCCGCAAAATCCACAGGTCCCTCCCCTAACCCCAAAACCATTCCAGCCCCACCCCCCACCCCCCCCTCGTTTCCCATCACCAAGAACCCCTCCACCTCCACTCCCCCCTCGTCTATCTCCCAACTCCTGCCCCTCCCCTAACACCCATCCACCTCCAACCCCCCCTCGTCCAACACCCAAGAACCACCCACCTCTCCATCCTCCTCCCTCCTC